ATCTAGTAATAATTTAGCTTTCCACTTAGCATATTTTTAGGAACTGTTATACTGCTTGTTTGCCATATTTTTATATTTAGTACATTATCAATACATTATGTTTTCAGACCGTTGTAAACAAAATCTTATCTTGTGTAATCTAATTCTTTTTTAAAAATTAACTTCATTGTAAACTTTAGGTATGCATTATGATCACATTCATCATTGGGAATTTGTACCTGTACATGATATATCTTAGTTCTTGTTTGTTTCCCATTCCCCTTCTCTCCCTTCCATCCCTCCCTATTTACAAAAGCTTTGTTTCCTTTTTTTCCTGCTTTTCTCATATTATTTCTTTCCCTTCTTTTCCCCACCCTCATTACTTTCTCTTCCCCTTTGAACTTTTGCTTCCTATTTCACATTATCTATTATACATTTGGGTCCTCATTTACACTGTCAGTTTCTCACACCAGAGAGACAATTTGGTATTTACGCTTATGTGTCCTATTTGTTTCACCTAAGATTATAGCCTCAGTTTGCATGCATGTAGCCATAAATTTCCCTAGTTTCTCGTTCTTTATGGCTGAGTAGTACTCCACTTTATAAAAAAACCACATCCAGTCACCAGTTGATAAGCATTTGGGCTGTTTAAAAGATTCAGCTATTACGGACTATCTGCTATAACATGGGTATGCATATATCACTGTGGTATGATGCTTTTAATTCTTTTGGGAAGATACCCACCCCTGGAATAGCTGGATCAAATGGGACTTCTCATCCTAGTTTTTTGAGAAATCTCCATATTGATTTCCACAGTGGTTGCACCAGTTTACACTCCCACCAACATTGGAGAAGGGTTCCTTTTTCCCCACAACCTGCCAGCATTTGTTATTGGTTGATTTCTTGATAGCAGCCATTCTTTCTGGGGTGAGATGGAATCTCAGCATTGTTTTCATTTGCATCTCTGTAATGACCAGTGATGTTGAACAATTTTTCATGTTTATTTGCTGTTTCTACTTCTTTGTCTGAGAAATGTCTGTTATTTCAGATGCCCATTTTTGGATTGGGTCTTTAAATTTTGGGGGTCTGATTTTTTAATGTTCTTTATATATTATATATAGTAGGCCTTTGTCTGAGGAACAGATGATAAAATTTTTTTTCCTAATGTATTCTTAAGTATGAAAAATCCTTGAAATTTTATTTTACATCTGGCTACTAATTAACCTATCTTGCTAACTTTATGCACTCTTTTGGAAGGTTTATTTCATCTTACATTCAGATTCTTTTTTCTTCTACTTTTCACCATATAACATATATATTTTTGGCTTAGTTAATTGTTCACTTATCAAAAACATAATTTCAATTAATGATCACAATCCACATTTTAATTCTCCATTTATTATTTGTGTCTGTTAATCTTTTATTGATTTATATATACCTCTACTTTTAGTTTGTTAGCTCACAAAGAGTAATTATTTTAGACTTAGTAATATGTCATTCACCTTAGTAGATTACATTTTATTTAAATTATACTGATGACTCGTTACTGGTATATTAGATACTAATATGATATAATAAAATGATTTCATTAGGTTTTTAACATATAACTATTTCATTCCAGGAAGATAAATATCTGGTCAATCTTTAATATTCTAGTGAATTTCTGCTTAAATTTTATTTACAATTTTGGCCTTTAATAAGATTGTCATATAGTTTTTATTGTGTATCATCATCATCATCATCATCATCAGCCATTGGCATCAGTTTTAAGTGTTATAAGTACAGTATTTCTATATTGTTCTAAAATCTAAAAATATAAATATCAAGAATATATGATTTTTGAAAATTTATAAACTTTGGGATAAAGATCTTAGACTCTAAATATTTTAGGAAATTATTTTTAAAATGTTTAAATTGGTGCACACCTATTTTCATTTTTTATTTCTTTATGTTCAGTTTGGAAATTTGAATTTCCTTTGAGATTTTTTTGAATCACATTCAGATTGTCAAATTCACTAGCAAACACCTCTTCATTCAAAACTACCACAATGTGCTCATCCCTTTCTCCTCCTTCCTCTCCGCCTTTTCCTCCAGTCTATTTTGCACAGAAGTGTGGTGGTTAAGACCTCACCCTTTGCCTAAGTCCCTCTGTGTCCTCGGTCTCAGTTCTCTTTTTTGGTTGCTGTTGTGTTTGATATAAATTGTACTTACATTTAGTTTTTATATCTTCAGTTTGCCAACAAATTTTGTGATTTTAAATACTTGTCTACTTGCCTGTTTAAACAATTTCAGCTTTTTGGAATACAACTGTAAAACAAAGATAGGCTTTTTATTTTAGAGTTTACTTTGTGGATACTCTTGAAAGTCTCCAAATAAAACTTGAAAATGGTTGCTGATTGTGTGGTAAACATTCATTATAAATATAGTAATTAAATCCTGATAATTATACTGCTGAAACTTTGTTCACTGCTTTCATTTTTGAAACACTGACAATAATGTGTTAAAGAAACAAACTGTGATTTTTAATTTACCAATTTCATATCAAGTCTGACATTTTTGCCTTGTATTTTAATAGTATGATTTTAACTTATATAATTTTAGGTTCAATATGTAGTGCCTTGAATTCTACCTCAACTGATAATTACAATGACAAGCCTATATTGTTTTGTATTTATTCATAAATGAATGTCTAGCTTAAAAATATCTCTGTCCATAGCTAGAACCAACAGTCGTGCTTTGACATACCACTAGAATCTTTGTGCATTCTTTTCACTGTATCTGGAAATATAATCTTTATATTTCTCACTTAGTCATAAACATCTTCCAACTTTTTTTTTTGGTACTGGGGATTGAACTCAGGTCCTTGTGCTTGTGCAGTGGGCTGTGAAACCACTGAGCTAAATCCCCGGCCCTTCCAACGTTTATTTTAACCTTTACCATTAGGGAGTTTTCCCTATTTCACCCATTATCTAGTCCATACAAGACCAGCAGGAGTGTTGGCTTTGTCCTGTTCCTCTCTTTCCTTGCCCGTTGCCTTTGTAATCCTGAGTATGTTCCTGAGGTGATCTGAATGATGCCTTCATCCCTTCATTGCCCTAGCTAGGATGCAAGCTCTTCTTGCAGAGGGACCGGTGTCATTTTTCACCTGTGGATCATAGCACTGACTGCAGCGTCTGACGAGTGTGTTTTGTTACTGTCGCTGTAAATCTGAAAATTATAATTTCATCAGGAATCAGCCTTTCCTAAGGCTACAGAGGGAAATGTAATGCTTTTTGCGTGGCAAACTTGCTTGACCATCTCCTGGACAAACTTGTCTTCGGTTTCTTTTGTCTGCTTTACTTTCCAAACTGGATCGAAGCTCTCCGAATAGCCATGCTGCTTCTCAGCGGTACACTGTCATCTCATGTGTTGTTGTGTGTAGAAAAAGCTCCCCAGCTCCCTCCATCGCTCCATGTCCCGTGAGCTCAGCACCTGCAAGCTCCTCTGAGCTCAGCATCACAGCAAAGTCGTCCTTTCACTGCACAAACCCCACCCTCGGGGACCCCGTCCTGTCCTCTCTGAACTTAGGAAATTCGTGTCTGCTTCTTCTGCCTTTCTTACATACCTGCAACTGTTTCCACGGTCCTCTTTCCTCCCAGGGCTGTAGCTTCTCCCTGAGAACGAGATCTGCCCTTTCATTTTATCACCACATGTAATTGGCAAATAAAGATGCTGCGTGTCGCAAGTGTGTAGGCCGGTGGATGGTGCACATGCGCTCCGTGTGGTGAGTGCCACACCAGGGAGTCAGTGACCCACACGGCCACGCTGTGCCCGAGGCCCAGCTGGCTTCTCCTGCAGGTAAAAGCACCTACTCTGCACATTCGCTCCAACTGCACTGGAGGCCACAAGAAGCCAGCACCGCATGCTGAGGAAAGCACCCGGTGTGCGCACTGTGCATTGTGAGCAGACATTGTGAAGGCGGGAAAACACTGAAAAATTGCCAAATATGCTTACCTAGAATGAGTCACTCTTTAAACAGATACCGCTGGAGATGAAACCCACCCGTGTTAGGCCTTAGCCTCCGGCAATTCTGGCCTCCATCAGCTCTGCTCAATGGATCGGGTTCAGATTCTTTTAAAAGGTGACACGGGCACCATCCCAAGGGAGTAATTAATACAGTGAAATATCCTATTAGTTAACCTTTTTTATTTTTAACTACAATGGTTTGCTTTGCAAATATGCAGATTTTGTGTCACTTTGAATTATGAAAGCGATGGATATTTTCTTGAGAATATCAACAATTGGTATTTTTATTTGGCCTTAATATTATAAATCTCTACTGATTTAGTCTGTGTATAGAGTTTACCATAGCTACTATCCAGAAATAAGTAGGTACACTGAAACAAGCAAGATATATTTAGATGTATTTTTCATTCTGTCTGGTTTAAAATACTGAATACACATATTGTTTAAAAATAGGGACTGTGTGTGGTCAGGAAAGTATATTTCTAAGATCTCTTCCTGTTCAGAACCATCTCATACTATGTAGGAATATTACATATTGTGATTATTGAGAATTTAAGGGCTGGGGATTTAGCTCAGTGGTTTCGCCGCCTGTTGTGCAAATGCAAGGACCTGAGTTCAATCCCCAGTACTCCCCCATAAAAAGAGAATTTTAAAAATTATAATTTTTTTATTGGTAACTTAAACTGTCAACTGGCTCATCAACCAGTGCTTATTTTGAAAATATCTTTTAATACATATTCTGTTCTCTTCACTGATGCAGGGAGTTTTTTGTTAACACATCTCTATTCTAAAAAATAATTGACTATCTCAAGAAATGTACAGACAGCATTATTAGGAGGGACAAACATTTAATTGCTTTTTATTTTAAAATGACTTGTTGAATTTCACTGTTACTGTTTTTACATGTGGGTTTTATCCTGGAGATTTTGACCTCCTTAATAGTTATTTATACTATTAATATAAAGTTCATTTTACTCATTTTCTTTCTCTTCTCTTTTCTTTTTAACATGCTGCAGTAGCTAACATATTATGGAGAGAAGAAGGTATTAAATTCAATTATTTTTGATATACTATTTTGCTTGATTCTATTAATTTGTTGATTATGATTAGTTTCAATATTTAGCTTAATCTTATAATATATTGATTTAATATATCATTTGATTATATTATAATATTCTTATAAGAATCTGTTACCATTAATACTTTCACTTTGTATCACCTCGATGCACTATCGATACCAATTTCGTTACAGTACAGGTATACCGAAATCCTTTTACTAGCCTAAAATAAGGTCAAAGAAACAGAAGCACTTGCACTTAACATGATTTACATAATAACCCCAATTAAGTCTGAGTAAGAATGATTATAAAACCCATTGCCTTATCAAGGGCTTTTGGATTCTGTAAGAAACAGAGCCATGCTCCAAGGGCCTTGCTTCAGCACAGTTGTAGAATCTCAGATTCTTTAAGGTTAACAGAGTGGAATATGTTTGTAAGAAAGTACATATTAAATTCAAGAAAATTTATTTAGATTACAAATTCCTTAGATGTTGTATGTTCTGTTAAAATGATAAAATGAAATCAATTTTTTAAATGCCCAGAAAAACATTTATTAATAAAGAGGCAGGACAGTGTATTTAATAGATGCAACATTTTAATTACTTTAAGTGTTAAAATTATAGGCTAATATTTAGTCTTTAAAAACTATATAAGCCCTGGAATATAGCTTAGCAAGAGTTTGTAACTAAATAAATTTCACTGAATTTAAAATGCATTATCCTATCCATCACACCAATATTTAAATTTGGAACACTGCCCCTTCTACCCTGAGTTCTACTTTCAGTTCTTTTCTACTCATTTGAGTCTCTAGAGATGTAGGAAGACCAGGTTAAGAAAGGAAATATCTCACTCACTTGATGACACACATTTTAAACATCTTATCAATGTAAACACTTCGAAAAGTTTGTAAATTCCAAGATATATAAGATCTAATATCCACCCTAAAGAAATTTTTAACTTTCAAAGAAACTTTTCAGTAGCAAGCTAAATCATACCTACCAGCAAGTAAGCTCACTGGATGATTTTTATTTTTTAT